GCTTCGTTTACTTTAAAATAATTTCCTTCGACGAAACCTAGTATTATCACCAATAGATTTTAGTCTATTATTCGCCGAGACTAATTAATAGTCTAGCTATTATTACTATTATATAAGCGTTAAAAAAATACTTACATAACCCATAATAATAGCCCAAGTATTTATTATATGTTCTTAATAACGTTAATATAATTAAATAAAAACTATATTAAAAATAGCATAGGCGTAGCTCACTTACAGCGGGTTTTATAGAAAACCAGGCTTTGCTTGGAGCAGCGTTTCCGAGCCGAAAATCTCTTCTTCTCGGAGCCGTCGAGCACTCCGGGGCTTCCGCCTCGTGCTAGGGAGGTTCCCTAGGCTTTTCGGGGGATTTCGGGGCTAGAGAGAGGTTCTAGAGAGAGAGTAAAGAGAAGAAAGAATGGGAAAGGTGTGAAGAAAATGAGGGTGGGAGAGGTGGTATTTATAGGGTGAAAATGGCTGAACTTGGTGCCACATGTCACCATCTAGTGGCAAGACTTGGGGAGAAAGCAATGGCCAAGATTGTGCCACATCACCCATTTTCGCACAACACACTTCCGACTTCTAAAATCCGTAACTTTCACATACGACCTCCGTTTTTGACGTTCTTTATATCCACGCGTAGGTAAAAATAATATATACAACTTTCATTTTGACTCCATCGGCTAATTCTCGACCGATCTTAAATTTAACAGTACGAGGCGTTTAGACTGTTAAATGACCGCGAAGAATTCGTAACTCCTTCATACGGACTCCGTTTTCGTCTGTCTTTTTACCGTTGAGTTCCTATTAATGAGATCTTCAACTTTCATTTATTTCTCGTAAGCCAAAAACCGCTCGAACTAAAATTCGAGTTTCGGGCTGTACACTGCTAGGCCGAATCTTAGAAAAATCATAACTTCCTCATACGAAGTCAGATTTGGGCGTTCTTTTTATCGACGCTCTTAGTTTAACATATTCTACGACTTTTGTTTAGATTGCTAAGGATAAAAAGTCTTCTATCGTAAATTCACTATTTACGTCTTCTGGTGCCGTGCCGGTTTTGCCGTAAAACTTCGGCGGGCCATAACTTCTTCGTTATAACTCGGATTTCGGCGTTCTTTATATGTACGGAAACCTTGTGACATATTCTAAAACTTGGTTAAGACTATTCATTCTAAATAATCTTTTGTCGAAAAGTCATTTTTGACCCCTATTGCCTCTAAATTGACTAGCCCGGATCTGCGGGCGTTACATCGATGAGTCGGGGTACAGACTCGACGAGTAGGAGCTATCTGGATGAAACCCTGATGCTAGGGTTTGCATCCTATTTAAACATCTTATTCTGCCTCAACCCAGCCTTCATCGTCCCTCCCAACCCAGAGAAACCCTAAGCACCCTTTTGAGTGTTCTTGAGCTTGTTGGTGCCTTTTTGTGTGTATTTGAAGTTGGAGAAGAAGAAGAAAGCTTGGAAGTTCAAGTGGAAGCTAGAAGATCCAGAGGTTGTGACTCATTTCCAGCTTATTTGAGGTATAAAGCTGATACCTTGGCTATTCACTACTTAGATCTTGATTTGGGGCTATTTTCTACTTTTTCTAAGCTTTAATGGAGTTATGTTCGGATTTGTGTGTAGAAGTGGATTTGTGCTTCAGATCTGGAACCATTGAGGGTTCCCATGGCATAAAGGTGCCAACTTTATGGCCATGGGAGACCCATGCTTCATGTATACCTATTTTATGGCTTTTTGAGCCAACCCCCCCCCCAATACATGTACGGCAAGATTGGAACTTTACGTGTAAAAGGGACCCTAGGAGGCCAGATCTATGATTTGGGTGCATTAAGACCTGTTATAATCGAATGTATAGTTTTGGACAAGGAGGGACTCGACGAGTTGGGATGCATTTTCCCCCAAACGTCTTCTGGTAATGGTTTTTGGTTGAGTGGAAGGAACACTCAGCCTGCTAGGGGTTTGTTATAGAGCTGGAAATCATAGGACTCAGCGAGTGGGTAAATAGACTCAGCGAGTTCAAGGCAATGTCCCAACCACATGAAGACGGAGTCGACGAGTTCAAGGATGAACTCGGCGAGTCATATACTGAACATCTTCAAATGGATGAAGATGAACTCGACTAGTTCAAGGAATAACTCGGCGAGTCGGTTGAATATAGTCATATGTGTTGTTGAAGGCAAAATCGTCAAGCTCTTGCTAGACTCGACGAGTAAGGACGAGATTATGGAAGTAGGTGGACATGGGGACTCAGCGAGTTGGTGGACCAACTCGGCGATTCGAGTCAACCAGATGTTGACTTTGACTAGGGTTTGACATTGACTTCGACTTGGACTTGAGTTGACCCTTGTAAGGGTTACGAGTATGAATTGATAAGTTAGAAAAATTGTTGTGTAGGGATTGAGGATTCGAGGAGAGTTGGTTTTCATACCGAGATCAGTGCAGACACTACACAACTTTGAGGTGAGTTTTCTCCTAGTAGGAGTGGGTCTACGGCCACAATGTCGGACCACGAGTAAGAGTGTTAGATAGATGATTGTTATTGTGATAATTATCTAGTGTTGATATGAGATATGATTATTGTGCCTGTTATGATTATTGTGATTGATATGTTTACTGTGCTTGATATGTGTTAGCATTAGAGGGGTGAAATAGTCCCCGATTATCGGTTGAAAGATACCGAAGGGGAGGGTAGCTCCCAGTTACCGGTTGAAATATATCGATGGGGAGGTTAGTTCCCGATCACCGAAAGATACCGAGGAGGAGGCCAGCTCCTGGCTATACCCAATAGTTACCGGTTGAAAGATACCAAAGATTATGCATTATTTGGTATGGGTATGATGGGGGAACTCACTAAGCTTTGTGCTTACGGTTTTTAGTTTTAGTTTCGAGTACCTCTTCATCTAAGGGGAAGGAGTCAGCGGGGTAGCAGCGCATCACACATTCACACATGATATTCCACATTTGAGAAACTTGGGATTGTACTATGATATTATACTATTTACTAATATGGTTTTGAGACTTGTGATTTGTGACTTTATGTTTGAAAGGATTTCAATGATGTTTTCCGTTAACTATTTTTACAAATAATATACTTTAAAACAAAAAATTTTGGGTCTCGATTTTGGGATGTTACAGATTCACTAACGAAATCATAAAACTATTCATGTTCCAACAATATCGTCAACATCGAAAACAACTTCAAACCATATATACTAAAAAAACTCAAATCATATAAGAAACCCATTCAACAATCATATCCTAAACATCAACACCACAAAAGATTTTCAGATTAAACACTACATTCAAAGAATCATTATCAACACAAAGGTAGAACCGAAAATATAAAGAACATGATGATAAAGGATGAACCCTAAAATCCTCCATTAATGAATGTTTTTTTCTAAGAAAAATAAGGAAGGGAAGGCGAAAGGGAAGGGTTTTTAAGCTGTTGCAAAGGTGAAAGGACAAAAATGACAGTTACCGGTTGAAAAATACCAAAGATTATGCATTATTTGGTATGGGTATGATGGGGGAACTCACTAAGCTTTATGCTTACGGCTTTTAGTGTTGGTTTCAGGTACATCTTCATCTAAGGGGAAAGAGGCGGCAGTGTAGCAGTGCATCACACATTCACACATGATATTCTGCATTTGAGAAACCTGTGATTGCACTATGATATTATACTATTTACTAATATGGTTTTGAGATTTGTGATTTGTGACTTTATGTTTGAAAGGATTTTAATGCTTTTTTCCGTTAACTATTTTTACAAGTAATATACTTTAAAACAAAAAATTTGGGTCTCGATTTTGTGATGTTACAGACTCACTAACGAAATCATAAAACTATGCATGTTCCAACAATATCGTCAACATCGAAAACAACTTCAAACCATATATACTAAAAAACGCAAATCATCTAGAAACACAGTCAACAATCATATCCTAAACATCAACACCACAAAAGATTTTCAGATTAAACAGTACATTCAAAGAATCATTATCAACACAAGGGTAGAACCAAAAATATAAAGAACATGATGATAAAGGATGAACCCTAAAATCCTCCATTAATGAATGTTTTTTTCCAAGAAAAAGAAGGGAGGGGAAGGCGAAAGGGAAGGGTTTTAAAGCTGTTGCAAAGGTGAAAGGACAAAAATGCCCCCGATGTGGGGGTTGCTAATAACTAAACAAACGGAGAAGTTAATAGAGGGACTGGGCGGGTAACAATTTAAAGTTTCAGGGATGCTCTGAGTTAAAAAATGTTTCTAGGGACCAAGCGTGCAAGTAACCCATAACCAGAGGGACCATCCGTGTAATTTTCTCTATATACTATAGTAACATGTGAATTGTTTGTATGTGAGTGGATGTTTATATTAAAATAAAGTAAATTACATGAATTGTCCCTCGTATAGGTGTCAAAAAGCGCGTTCAGTCTCTGTTTTCAAAAATTAACTTAGACAGTCCCTTAAATCGTAAAAATGCTACACGCTTAGTCCCTAATAACGTAAAATGACTATATTGTCCTTTTCAAATTCCTTTTCAATTATTTTTAATGTTTTTGATTAATTTTAGTCTTTAAAAAATATTTTTATTTACGAAATGGCAGTGGCCCCCATCAGATACACCCTAACCCATTGTTATCTCCCTACTCCCCCCCCCCCACACACACACATACACATCTCTTTCGTCTGGCTCATCTTTTGACCACCATTGAACCCCTCACACACCTTTCCTCCCCAAAGATCCGACAACACCCAAAAAACTCATGAACCTGAAATTTGAATCAAACCTGAACCTCAAATTTAAATCAAATATATGCAAATCAAACCAAACTAAGTCCTAAATCTTCAAATCGTAACCCACTACCCGAGGAACCTGAAATTCGCCCTGAATCTTGCTGCAGTCGAAGAACCTAAAAATAAAACCATAATATTGTCCACAACCACCAGCTAAACCTGACTTTTGAGGCGGTTCTTGATGGTCGTCGGAGTATGATGACGAGGGTGAGATTATGGTCGTGTGATGGTCACCGGAGGTTGCTGACAAAGGATGTTAGAGATGCACAGAGTAAGAGAAGGTGACCGGTCCACCACCGATAGGTGGTCCATTGTTGTCGCCTCTCGTTTTTCTGGGAATAGGGCACCGAATCTACACTCATCCCCAAGCTTCTGCCTTATCGTTCAAATCTACACTCCAACAAGAGGCTAGATCATCTGACGGTACTGGTGATGGAGTGGTGACAAGTGGTGTTCAAAGGGGGTGGTTTTTGGCTGGTGTGTGCAGGAGGGTGGCAATGTGTAGGTAGAGAAGACGACGAAGGTGCGAAGACGATGATTTATAGGCGATACACATAATATACATTTTTCTGGTGAACCCAATATCTCCGACAACGACTGTGATCGGAGAAGATATGTTTTTCCGGTGACGGAATCTCTCATGTATGTCGGGGACGGTCCGAGTGAGAAAAAACATTGAAGGGACGGTCCGGATTAATTATTGAAAATAAAGACTAAGCATGCAATTTAACATTTGGACAATGGACGAATCGTGTAATTTACTCTATTAAAATACCATATGTTTAAAAAATGATTAGTTAAACAAGTAAGTTTTATATAACATTTTATATAGATAAGTATAAAATAGTTAAATTAATAAAAAAAGTTTAACAATTAAAAAGACAATTTAATTAGAGATCATCATTGTCAATATTAATAAAATAACGAGATCTATATTTACCATTGGAAATGAAATTTCCCCGTTTCTAAAAAAAAAAAAATCTATATAATGGTCTTTGATTTTGTTAAATTGAGACTAGATTGACCTTTCAAAAACATAGGATCCAACTGAATACATAATTTCCAAGAGAAAACGATCAGCACGTAATCGGGTAACCCGGTATCAGTTCTCAGGTCTCACCCGTCTTCGTTCGTAGTGGCTCTCCGTCGCGGTTGCACCGCCCACGTAAACCTATAGAATTGACGGAGCAAATTCTTCCATCTTATCAGAAGCGGCCTTTGAGAGCTTTATCGATTACTCAATTTTGTGCCAACTCTCCAGGTTAGGATACAAAACATATTCTACGTATCTTTTTTCTTTCTCACTAATTTGAATAGATGTTGACAAGTCATGTAGGACAGTAGTAGTTAAGCTGTTAGAAGTTGATCACGAAGTTGCTTGAACTTTCCGTGACAAGTTTATTCAAAATGCTACATGGATATTAAGTTCTATTTTACATTTGGATGTCAAACGTGTTAGTGTTCCACTTTAAAGTTCGTTAATTTGTATTACGGCGAAGCATACAAATTATATTGAATTTCATGGTTAGTACCAAATTTATTTAAGTTTTGCATTTGTATTGTAGTATAGTACCTTCTGTGAGTTTGACAAGAAAACTCAATGTAGCTTTTTCTTTTTGAACTGAACCATCATACGGGCTAGGTTGTAAAAAATTGAATATGAAGTTATTATGAGCTTCATAATGTAGTACAAAGCTTCACCTGCTGGCTTTAATTAAGTTGTTGTGAGTTTTATCTATTTCTTTTGTGATGAATGGGAACCTATTCAGAGTATTTGGATATCAAACTTGTTACTTACTTACGTTTGTAGTTTATTTAATTCAGATTCAAAGTTGGGAGATGAACCCTAGAGAAAGCTTCTACCTTTCTTCCATGAGAAATCTATAACTTGCTCCTCAATTAAATGCCACTTTGCAAGTAATGTATCTGGTGTGATGGGTAGAAGAAAGCAAACTCAACCTCGTAGGGCACGAGCCACTGTTGGCAACAATGGTGTTTCTAAAGAGGATTTTTGCAATCCAGACACATCCCAAGCTTTAAAAAACGAGCTTTCTAGTCACAACAATCCATTTTTTATCGAAGTTGATAGGGATAATTGGGTGTCAACAGAGCATTATGACATCTCAGAAGTGGTTCTGACAAATTTGAATGTAAGTGAAGAGTGTTATGATAGAAAATTCAAGGATCAAGATTTTATCAATGAAGAAAAGTATAACTTTAGGTTTCGGTTGAACGATGTAATAAAACCATTGCATATCCCTGTCTTATCTACTTCTGATATCTATCTGGAATTCATTGAGAAGCGAGTGGACATGGAAGCACATGTAATGGTAACTGGGAATTTTGATGGGCCTAGTGAAGGTGTTTCAGGGCTTGTTCACTTAGTTAGTATGAAGTTTTTGACTTTGAGGCCTACTACAGGGTTGACTTTTTCAGGGAATTTGTCATCGATTAGATTAAGAGTAGAGATACAAAAGTGTACATTCGAGGGTTCTGAGTCATTTTTTGGGACTACAAGGCAGATATGGAAGAAGAGTATGATGAATGTCATGGCTTGGCTACGCCCTGAAGTAACTACCTCAGAGGCTAGATATGGGTATAAGGTACCTGAAGACATGGAGATTGGCTTACAACTAAATGAAAATAGGAAAGGATCCAGGTTTGATGTATCTGGTTTTTATGAAGCAATAAAACCCTCAAAGTGAGTGTGCATAGTGTTGATACTGTAGATGATTTTGGTTTATAATTTTATTTATTTTAATAATAAAATTGCAGGGATAACCCGATGCTAATGGATGACATGCCTGACTTGCTCCCTGAGCTTAGACCATATCAAAGGCGTGCAGCTTTCTGGATGGTTGAACGAGAGAAAGGAACTTTCAGACATCTGAGAGAAAGTCAACAAAGTCAATCTGTTTCACCCCTATGTGTCCCTGTGGATTTAGTTGATTCCTGCTTTAAAATATATTACAATTCATTTAACGGAAGTGTTTCAATGAATCTTGAGAACTGTTCATCTTATGTTGTTGGTGGTATTCTTGCAGGTTAGTCTTTCTAATCTTTCATATATATATTTTTTTGTTGTTGATGTTTTTACTGATATGTTTCTATGACAACACAACAACAGATGAAATGGGTCTAGGAAAAACCATTGAGCTGCTTGCTTGTATATTTGCACATAGAAAATCGGACATAGATGCTGATGATATAAGAAACAAGACAATACAAGTTGCTGGAGAACAGAAATCTAACATCAAAAGAATGAAGAAAGAACGTGTTGAATGTGTCTGTGGGGCTGTAAGTGAAAGCTCAAAGTATAAAGGTTTATGGGTACAATGTGATGTCTGTGATGCTTGGCAACATGCAGATTGTGTAGGCTATCAATATAAAGAAACAAATTCAGAACCAATAAAAGATTCAGAAAGTCTGAATGGTGATTCAAGAAAACGCAAAAGTTATAAAGGCTCCAAAGTCGTTATCTGTGATGGGGCCCACATTTGTCCATTTTGCTTAGAACTGAGTCAAGCAACCGGTTCCCCTGTTCCTACTGGTGCAACACTTGTAGTATGTCCAGCACCAATATTGCCACAGTGGCATGCTGAAATAACTCGGTAACCTACAACTACTATTACTATTTATTGATCATTAAGCTTTATTGTATATATGCGTGCTAAATGGTTTGTTTATTTCTTTTTGCAGTCATACAAGTCCAGGTTCACTAAAAGTTGTTGTGTATGAAGGAGTAAAACCAAGTTCACTTTATAATAATACCACATCTGCTACGAAAATTGATGAACTGATTAGTGCTGACATTGTGTTAACAACATATGATGTGCTGAAGCAAGACTTATCTCATGATTCTGAAAGGAATATAGGGGATAGGCGACTTTTGAGATACCAGAAGAAGTACCCTGTGATTCCAACTTTTCTGACTCGAATATTCTGGTGGAGGATTTGTTTGGATGAGGCTCAAATGGTGGAGAGTAATGCTGCTGCTGCAACAGAAATGGCAATGCGCTTACCTTGTATGCATCGTTGGTGTGTTACAGGAACTCCTATACAAAGAAAGCTGGATGACTTATTTGGGCTCTTAAGGTTTCTTAAAGCAACTCCTTATGATGTTTTCAAGTGGTGGGTTGATGTTATTAGGAATCCTTATGAGGTAATAACTAACTTAACAGTTATTTACCTAATATGTGGGATTTGCAATCATGTTCTTGTTTTTACATTCACAGATGGGAGATGCAGGGGCTGTAGAATATACTCACAATCTCTTTAAACAAATAATGTGGAGATCCTCAAAATCACATGTTGCTGAAGAGTTGCACCTTCCTCCACAAGAAGAATGTCTCACTTGGCTATCCCTCACACCAATTGAAGAACACTTTTATCAGAGGCAACATGACACCTGTCTCACATATGCTAGGGAAGTCATCCAAAGTTTCAAAAGCAGTATTCCTGAAGAAGAAGCTTCAGGAAATGATTCATCGGATTCTTTCCTTACACATGTGGAGGCTGCAAAACTTTTGAACTCCCTCTTGAAGCTAAGGCAAGCATGTTGTCATCCTCAAGTGGGAAGTTCAGGCGTACGTTCACTGCAGCAGTCTCCCATGACAATGGAGGAGATACTAATGGTTGGTTTTTCTTTTTATAATTCTTTTTATTATCATTGTGTTATTTATCTTCTAATCAGCTTTACATTCCCCTAGGTTCTTGTAGGTAAGACTAAAGTAGAAGGGGAGGAAGCCCTGAGGAAGTTGGTTGTTGCATTGAATGGACTTGCAGGGATAGCTATTATTAAACAAGATTTTCCTCAAGCTATATCATTGTATAAAGAAGCACTTGAATTAGCAGAAGAGCATTCAGAAGATTTCAGAGTTGACCCTCTGTTGAACATTCACATACATTATAATCTTGCTGAGATACTCCCTTTGACCACCAACTCTTTACAAAAGTTTCATTCAGGTAAACAGAATCCTGAAAGTTGTGAAGGTAACATGTGCAAGACATGTGATGAGGATAGACCATTTTCTCTATCCAGTTGTACCAGTTACCAATCTTTACAGATCACATGCAACAATTTAAAGCAAAAGTTTTTGTCTGTTTTCAATTCAAGATTGTCCTTGGCTCAGCTGGAATTCAGGAAATCATATGACCTGGTAATTTCTCCAACCTTACTTTTTATTAAAAAAAAGGTTCATTTAGAATTTCTGAATCGTTTGTAAATCTGCCATGTGTTTCTTCTTAAACCTTTTTCAAGGTTAGTAATGGACTTAAAGATAGAAGACACCAGCATACTGCTTGGTGGGCTGAAGCCCTGCAATATATCGAGCAAAATAAAGATTCTTCAACTGATTTCATCAGAAAGATAGGAGATGCTGTCTCCGAGACTCTTAACACTTCTAGAACATCGAGACTTGCAGCCCGGTTTGTAATCGTTTATGTTCATTATTCGTGTGTTTAATATAATTGATACTTTGTAACAAACCTTAATATTTTATTTTATAATTCAGGTTTCAGAGCATAACTGCTCTCAAGTATCATATCCAGAGTGGTCTGGAAAAATTGGAAGATTCTAGAAGGACTTTGCTGGATAGACTATTGGAAGTTGACCAGAGCATGGAGAATCCAAGTATAGAGGATGTAGAACGTGTGAGATATTGTCCAAAATGCCAGGTCAATGGAGAGGGGCTCATTTGTGTACACTGTGAACTAGACGAGTTATTTCAGGTTTTTAATCTTATTTTCAAAGTTGTACATTTTGTTGATTGAAGCAGAAGGCAACTTGATCTCTTTTTGCTTATTGCAGGCATATGAGGCGAGGCTGTTTCGATTTAACAAAGGACATGGTGGAGGGGTGATTTCATCTGCTGACGAGGCGGTTGATTTAAGGAAAAAAGTGTCTGCTTTGAATCGGTTCTATTGGACTTTGTCACAGCCTGACAAAGCTCCACCACCATCAAGTAATGAAGATGAAGGGAAGAAAAGAGATGTTGGGGAGAAAGTTATGGTGAGCATACATATATCTACATGCATGCACATCATCAATCATATTACGTATTATTTTTTCATATCAACAGGTTTCTAAATCTCCTTCAGAGCTTGAAGTTGTTCTTGGGGTTATAAAGAGCTATTCGAAGGCTCAATTAGGCAAAGAAGCCATGTCAGCAGCCAGGAAGCATCTATCTCTTCTTGAGGTAATGGATAAGGGATTCCATTTTGTTACTTTATAACAAAAGGCTGGCTACCTTTACCTAACATTTTAGTCCTTTTTTGTATTACTATTTTAAGGGAATGCGTAAGGAGTATGGTCATGCAAGATCCTTGGCACTTGCTCAAGCTCAAGTGCTTAATGCTCATGATGAGATATCAATGGCAACCTCACGATTACGCCTTAGAGAAAATGAGGATGATAAATCCATTGATGCTTTAAGTCTGGAAGAGCTAGAAACAGCAAACGTTGAAAATTCAAGTGAAAAGTTTGTTGCTTTATCCTCGTTATTGCGTGTGAAAGGGCAACTTCGGTATTTGAAGGGTTTGGTACAGTCTAAACAAACTGTTGATGATCCATCTCATGAAGTTATGATGAATTCTAATACTAATTCGGTTAAAGAGGGATCAGGCGATGACATGTGTCCTGTTTGTCAAGATAAGATCACCACTCAGAAGATGGTTTTTCAGTGTGGGCATCTTACATGTTGTAAATGTAAGCATAGTGTTTAATTTGTTGATTGGTTCTGTTTGAAGGGTGTTGTACATTAAAGTAATATGTTGTTAAATCATAAATGTGCAGGTTTTATTGGAATGAGCGAGAGGGGGATGAGTCAGGCTGATAAGAAATGGATGATGTGTCCAACATGTAGACAACCCACAGAATATGGGAATGTTGCTTTTGTTGATGATGAGCAAAAACCACCTGATGTTTCTGTAACTGCTTTTAAAACCTCAGATGCTTCTGTGACTGTCAACGGTTCATATAGCACCAAGGTATATAGTAGTATGTTATACATTTTATTTAATGCTTTTAGGTTACTATGCTATTTAGAAAGCCTGTAATATAGTACAACTGTTAATGATTTTTTTTGTAGATTTTAGCAGTGACAAGGAGAATACTGTGTATCGGTTCCACGAATCCAACAGACAAAATTCTTGTTTTCTCAAGTTGGAATGATGTTCTTGATGTGCTGGAACATGCTTTTACAGCAAATGATATTAGTTTTATCAGAATGAAAGGAGGGAGGTACGATTACTTTATACACAGAACAACCTGTTGTCTGTTTTGTCCTGTCATGTACAGTGTAACTGAACACCATACTTGTGACTGCTGAAATTGTTGCTGATTTTATCTGCGGGAAATGGCTTTTCAGGAAATCACAAGTTGCTATCAGTGAATTTAAAGGAGAGAAAGTTGATGTGAAAGATGGTGTGAATAAGAAAATGAAAATGAAGCTGAGAGAAAGAAATTCCATTCAGGTAATGCTGCTATTGATTCAGCATGGGGCGAATGGGCTTAATCTTTTGGAAGCACAACATGTTATTCTTGTAGAGCCGCTACTGAACCCCGCAGCAGAAGCACAAGCCATCAGCAGGGTGCACCGCATCGGCCAGACCAAAAAGACACTCGTTCATCGTTTCATAGTATGCGCGCCTTTTAACCAAAAATATTAACTTGTTTATCTGTTCCCATTGACATCAGTCTCAGTCCAATGCAGTACGATCTGTTCTGTTCTGTCAATGTCTTGAGTCTTCTTGATTAATAAATTGATATTGTATGGCAGGTGAAGGACACAGTGGAAGAAAGCTTATATAAACTGAATAAAAGCAGAGATGGTGGTTCGTTTATAAGCGGAAACAAAAGGAACCAAGATCAGCCTGTTTTCACACTCAAAGATGTTGAGTCTCTTTTCAAAGTTTCTCCATCAACAATCCCACAACACAACACGGATTCAGATTTAATGCATTTGCCGCCAGGTGTTGCTGCTGGTATAGCCGCCCAGAGGAGGCTCATGGACCAAACAAGGTCATGAATCGGGGCAGGGCCCATCATAGGCGGGACTATACTCTTTAGTTATCTCAGTAAATATAACTTGTTAGCTTAGGTAGTTACAGCCTCTTACTATTGTTTAAAATGAACCCTCTACACTCCTTCCTACTTCCTAGTCAGTTCCAGTGTAGTTTCATTTTTTTCAGAACTTTTAGCTAAGTTATTTACGAGTAAATTATAGTTTTGGTCCCTGACTAACATCTTTTGCCCACAATATTGATTTCTTGCAACCTTGGTTATGGTTGCAATTTTAACCCACTTCTATTCTGTTGAGAAATTGATGGCAACTGCAATCTTTAAAATTATCAACAATGACAATATTAATGTCCAAATCTGTTTGTCTTACAACGTCCTTTTAGATTAGCTTGAAGCTAGTTTTTAGGGTCATAACCCCCTTCCGATAGATAAGAGAGATAACTTTATGGATGACCATGAATGCATAAATTAAAATTTTAAATAGGGAATATTTCATATATATCCTTCCAAACTATAAAAATTACTTCAATATCCTTATAAACTTTGATATTACGTGGATATCCCTCTAAAACTATAAAAAATACATCAATATCTAAAATCAATTTTTAATTAGAAATATATCAATTTTTATAATTTTTTTTATCTAATATGCAAAATTATATATTAGTTTACCAATTTACCCTTTCCTAAATAAATCTTAAATTAAATCAGCCTTTATTCATTAATTCACAAACTAAATCACATAACAGATTACACATTCCTATCTGTTAATTTGATTAAAGCCCCTATAATATTGGACATATATTTGAACTTTCAAGGTTCACTGTGCTGAGTGTGAATGTAGTCCAAGTGAGCCTCTGGAATGCTTGGATGAATATAATAAAGGGATAATGACTTGAAAGGGTAACGAACTTTCGACTTTTGTCACATTTAGTCACTAAACTTTTTTTCGTTATCTATTTGCCATTGAACTATTGAAACTGTTCACATTTTACCCTTATGACCGACTGTTGCCGGTCATAAGGGTAAAATGTGAACAATTTCAATAGTTCAATGGCAAATAGAGAACGAAAACAAGTTTAGTGACTAAATATGAACAAAATCGAAAGTTCGTTTCCCTCTAAAAAGTTCAATGACTAAATGTGAACAAACCTTCTCTTGTATTATGTTTTAACAAGTTATTTATTTTTGTTAAATTGTAGCAACATTTGTTGATGAAGAAATCTATGAAAAAAAAAAAAAAACCCTGAAAATATATTTAAAAAAAAAACACAAAAAACCAAAACCGAAATAAAAAACCAATGGTTTGACATTTTCCAAAATAAAAAATCAAAATCTCCAATCTGATTTTGGTTTTACAAAAAAATGAACCATTCTCACTGATGTGAATTATAACTATTGGTTTGGCATGCGAAATTTGTGACATCCCATGAATATGTAGTTACAACATCGTCAGAACTCGTAATTCATAGTAAGGAGTTAGAGTATCATCACATGAATACGTAGTTACAACATCGTCTGAACTCGTAATTCATCACCTACAGGTTATGGGCTTGCTGGTGTTTCCACTGGGTTGTCTAGAATAGTCCGTGGTCGCCATCTATACTCTGGTAGATGACTACATCGCCACATTGCTGGTTACGGTTATGGTATCTCTTTTCATCCTACATCACATATTCATCATCATCTATTTACCTAATTATCACCACCTTTCCATCATTACCTATCTCTCATCATTTTATTTCATTTACACACCAACTATTTCATCTACCCATGTTTCATCCGCAACATATTTGTAGATATAAAATAAATATACCGTTTAAATCTTTTAAAACATGTATAAAATCGTTCATCCAGCATAGACAACAAGTATTCAAATAATATGCACACATAGTACGTAATTTATATAAAATACTTCATATCTATGTGTAAGATGAAAGTAACTATATATATACCATAAATGCTTCCTAACTTTGAACCCCAAGGTTTACTCTACTAAAGCTTCATATTCTCGGCTCTCTGAACCTAGAAGGGTCCAGATCTATCACACCAAAAAGCTCAAGATAGCTCTTCCTCTCACTCTACACACTCAAGCTCGCTAGGGTTCGCACTTATGGGAAAGGTAGTCGCAATTGAAGGCCATAAGTGCCTTTAAATATAGCTCGAGCCCAAAGATTTAGGGTTTCTGCCAACAGTGCGGACTCGTCGAGTCGCCTCACCGACTCATTGAGTCCATTCATTAATCTGAATCACCAGTCGCGACCTTACTCGACGAGTTGAGGCGTCAACTCGTCGAGTCTCTCTTCTTAACTCAAAAGAAAAATACTTAAATGATGATACATGGAAATCCGGATGTTACATTTTGTATTTTTATTTCATAGATTTCTTCATCAACAAATGTTGCTACAATTAAACAAAAATAAATAATTTTGCTAAAACATAATACAATAGGAAGTTTGTTCACATTTAGTTATTGAACTTTTTAGAGGGAAACGAACTTTCGATTTTGTTCACATTTAGTCACTAAACTTTTTTTCATTATCTATTTGCCACTAAACTATTGAAACTGTTCACATTTTACCCTCATTTGTTATAGGGATAATGACTTGAAAGGGTAACGAACTTTCGATTTTTGTCACATTTAGTCACTAAACTTTTTTTCGTTATCTATTTGTCATTGAACTATTGAAACTGTTCACATTTTACCCTTATGACCGGCTGTTAGCCGGTCATAAGGGTAAAATGTGAACAGTTTCAATAGTTCAATGACAAATAGATAACGAAAAAAAGTTTAGTGATTAAATGTGACAAAAATCGAAAGTTCGTTACCCTTTCAAGTCATTATCCCTATAACAAATGAAGGTGACAAAGTGAAAGAAACAAAAGAAAATGAAACGTATAAAAATTACATTTGCAATTTACTCTTAACGGTAACGGATTTAACAAGAGGAGGAAAATGAAACGTTCTGTTTACCCTCTTTAACCCTCTACCAGCCGGACCACGTTAGTCTTTAGCCTTTACCCTGTTGTTCGCTGCTCCGGTAATTACTTCTGTTTCTGCTACTCGTTCCGGCAGGTGGCTTCTCTGTCTCATACAATATAAACGCACATACACATTGACTGCACCTTTTTTTTTATCGACCATTTGAAACACACACTCAAGAATGTATATCTCTATGTTCAAAATCGAGAACCATTAACATTGATAATGGATTGTAAAACCTAATTAGTATAATCAGCTTTTGGTACAGGTTGTTGATCGATGTTCTTGCGCACCAATCATACATTTCTAACTGTGTGTGAGAGAACCGAGGAAATCGATTACCCATTTGTGTATAATTCGTGGGGTTTTAACTTTTTATCCCAGCTCAGACACACACTGTTGCCGACTGAAACGGCTTAATCTGCGACACCGGCTGACCATGGCTGATCCTCTCCCCGGAATAAAAGCTGCTAAGACTGCCGCAGGGCAAACGCCTCACGAAGCAAGCAAACAGCAAATCGTTGCCAGATCCGAAGACCTAAAGGCAGAAACGTTAGAAAGAGATTCGAGAATCGTACGTTATCTGAAACATCTCCCCGAATTCGGCTATTGGCCTAACAAGAATATTGATCCAAAATTTGTCGAGATTGACGTTGAATACTTTCGCGCTGCAATGGCTAACGTTTTAACGAGAGTCTTATTTGATCAGTTCAGGCATCGTTCCGCTGTTCGCCCATCTAAGATAAACAACGAGCTTACACACATCGTTCCTATTGTTGTCGATATGTGCATGTCTGCGCTTTATAAAAAGCTACGCTCCGTCAACCGAAGTTGTGGTAAATACGCATGCCGATATTCTTCATCTCCGTCATACTCAAAGGAAATCGAGCTGCCATTGCCGTTTGCTTTGGCAATTCAGCAATTTGGTCACTTCGAGACCCACTCCCTGCAGAGGAACTACTTGATGGTACCAACTTACCCGGAGAATATTAACAATGAAGGCGGCGCCAAGGCGGCCCTTCCGGCCGACTACCAGTCATACATCCCAACTCTCAAGCGACTTGGAATCGAGATGAAATGTGTTGACAGTAAAGTTAAATCTGGGTCTCCATGGTGGACCTTCAAAGTCTTGAATCTGGAAAAAACAACAGATCTGGTTTGCACGCTTCCGAGGTCTCATTATTCAGATCTGGATGCAATGCTGCGGTCTGTGTTCTGCTTTGCTGACCCTGCATCCGGCGAGTGCAAGGATATTATCAAGCTGCCTGCGGATACAGGTGATTATGGCACTCTGATGCACTGCATGAAACCGGGTTTCAACGTTCGTTCTTTTTTCGTACTAATGCATGGCCCACAAGAGTAAGTTAAAGCTTTGGAACATGTTTTACTTCTTTTGAACAACTAATTTGCTAACTATCTATCATTTAGAGCAACATACTTAAATTTTTGTTAACAATCTACTTGCATTTTGCTATCAAGATGGGCAACTAATTACTTTACTTGCTGCATATTTATATTATCAGTGGAAGTGTTATTATTACGGATAAAGAAATGTAAGCCCATGTCTACTGCTTCTTGTTTGGTGATGCTCAATTTCATATTCAAGTCCCTAGATTTAGGGCTATTTTACACCCTTCCATGTTGAAGTATCGAGCGGATTTCATAATTACTTAATAGTCATCAAAACTCAAGTTCAAGTTCTCTCATTCAAGTTTTATGTGGTATTCAAGTTCAAAGTTACTTGCCTCTTTTGAACTTGGTGATGTCATTGCTGCTATTTACTTATCTGCTTATCTGTTTCACCACTATCATTGGTGTGTAGTTTGATGTTCTATTAGGGGATAATGATAAAAATGGGTAACAAACTATCTAAAAGATATTTTAAAAATATCATTGAACTGAATAAATGATGTTAGAAGGTAACCGGAGAGCATGTCTTCCTCTCCTAATCCCTCCTAACCCCTCCTTAAAAAATCTCAATAACAGAGTGTAAGGGATAATAACTTGAAAAGGTAACAAATTTTCAACATTTAGTCATTGAAATGTTTTTCATGCTTGATTTACCTATGAATTATTTGAAATTGCTAATATTTTTCCCTTTAAATCACCTACTGCCGGTCATAAGGGTAAAATTTTAAAATGTGAACAATTTCAAATAATTCATAGGTAAACAAGTAAATCAGTGACTGAATGTGAACAAAGTTGAAAGTTCGTTACCAAATATCTTATGCCCACGCTTATTTTAAACAATTTTAATCATGTTTTGTTAAGTGGGTGTTATATTTTTACTAGATATAATTTATTTATCATAAGTTTAAACATC